CTGTGCAGAACACATCAGGTCAAATTCTGCCCTTTAGATATTAGCCAAAGTCCAAAGCAGGAGTGTCCAACCTGGGCAACTTGTGGACTTCAACTCCCAGAATTCCCCAGCCTGGTATGATAGGTAGATGAGAGAGAGGGAGGGAGGATGGATGGATGGATGGAAGATAGGTTGGTTGGTTGGTTGGGTGGTTGATTGATTGATGATAGACGATAGAGATGATAGATTAGATTGATTGATTGATTGGTAGATTGATAGATGATGGATGATTGATAGAGATATTGATAGATGATAGATAGATAGATAGATAGATAGATAGATAGATAGATAGATAGATAGATAGATAGATAGGGAAATAGGGAGATAGGATAGATAGATGATGGATGGATGGATGGATGGATGGATGGATGGATGGATGGATGGATGGATGGATAGATAGATAGATAGATAGATAGGTAGGTAGGTAGGTATTAGAGAAAGAGATGATATAGGGATAGAGAGAGAGAGGGAGGGAGAGGAGAGGAAGAGAGAGAGGGAGATAATGATAAAAAGAGAGGTTGGGTGAGGGAGATGTTGATATCAAAAACGGGCAGGGGGCGGAGGCGGGAGGGGACAATCTTCCCTTCCTTTTGGAGATTCTGTGTTAGGCAAAGTTGTACAAAGCCGAGACCCTCAAATTAAAAAAAAAAAAGGCTTTAAACTCTTCCTTTAAACTTCTTCAGAAAAAGAAACCTCTCCCCCTCATTAAGCGTTCTCCGCATACAATCCAACATTATTTTGAGTCGCCATGTGCGAATAGGCGGCAATATAAATTTCCAAATAAATTAATAAAATAAAATAAATTGTTTTTTTTTTTTAAAGGAGCATCCCTTCACGAATCTGGCGAGTCCTTTGATTCACAAGGTGGGGACTCGGTCGGAGGTGGGCTTGCAAATTTCTCCGAGGGGCCCCTTCTCTTCCCTTCCCCAACCCCCCCCCTTACACACACACACACACACACACACACACAATGGGGAAGCCACAGCCTCCTCGCCCCAAACTTGATTTCAAGCAAACCGCGGGACCAAACGCGGCCCGAAGTCAGGGAAAAAACAGTCGTGGGGGGGGGTCTCCTTTGGCTGCTGGAAACCACGTCGCAAGCCCCTCGGAGCAGCCTGAATGGGCGGCGCAGGAATGGAATAAACGAAGACCGAAACGGCCACTATCCTGTGCCAACCCCTCCACCTGCCCTCCGGGGACATAAAGCCGGCGTTGCACGGGGAAGGCCGTCGTGCACACGCGCGTAGACCAATTTCCCACGACTCCGAGTCAGGCTTGGGCGAGGCCCTTCCGTGCAGGGAGCTGCTTCTCGACCAGCTTGTCTCGTGGTGGGTGGTGGGAGAAATTGCCCCCCCCTCCAGCCGGCGCACACGGGCGTGCACACCGGCCTCCCCCGTGCAACAGATGCTCGCCGGTTTTCCAGCAAGGTTTTGGCATCTCCGCCGGTTATTATTATGATTATTTTTTTGCAGCGCTGCTCCCGCTTCGGGGTCTCGGATTTCCTGGCCCGTTTGGAAAATCGCGGAGGATGCCAACGCTTTGCCCCGCCAATCGCCAACCTCCCCTCCTCCCTTCCCCCCAATATTCTCCCAGAGGCTCCTATGGAAAACTCACCCGCCCCCCCCCCCCCCCGCCCCCCGAAAGGACGGACAAAGGCTTCGATGCTGATTTAGACTTTGAAACCTCCTTTAGCGAAAGTGTTTGTCTTGAAAATGCCCTTAATCCTCCCGCTTTGCGCCCCTGGAAAGCAAGCGAGGGAGGGGGGTCGGGCGAAGGGGCCTGGGCTTTCAAATGCATTCGTATCCCGGGGGGGGGGGCTTTTACCCTAATGGGGGTGGGCGGGCTGCATAAACAAAGGCCAGAGGCAACCAGAGCCCAGCTGGAAAAGACGGGGAGGGGCGGCTGCATTGTTCAAATATTTTGAATTATGATTTTCAAAACGGAAAAGCCCTGGAAGAGTCTTCAGAAGGATGGACCGCCACATCCATCATCCCCAGCCAGCCGTTTAGGAAGGCAGGCAGGCAGGCAGGCAGGCTCCACGGGAGGGGAATTGTCTCCCCATCAAATCCACCCACCGAAACCTCCCCGTCTCTGGGCACGATAGAAGGGAAGGACTTTAACTCAAAGTGATGGGGTGGCGACTCTCCAATCGCCAACTGTGGCGGGGGGGGGGTTGGATGTGCACCCGTGACTTATTGTGCAAGGGGGTACACCGGGCAACCACATTGGTGTGCAAGAGAGCGATGACTGCTGTCCTTTCCGTCGTTTACCGAGTAACAGGATACCGGAGTTGGGAGGGACCTTGGAGGTCTTCTAGTCCAACCCCCAGACAAGGGTCTGTGTCCAGCCTCGTCTCAAAAACCTCCCGGGATGAAACACCCGCAACTTCTGGGGACAAATCGTTCCGATGGTTCATTGTTCTCAGTGTTGGGAAGTTTCTCCTAGGTCGCTTCTTGTCCCGCCTTCCTTTGGAGACAAACTGGACCCCCTTCTTCTTTGGGGCAGCCCCAGAGATCCTGGAAGACGGCCTCCATTGCCACCCCGGTTCTTTCTTTTCGTTCAACTCGACCTCCCCACCTTCTTCGTATGTTTTAGCCTCTAATCCTCTTGGTTGCTCTTCCCCGCATCCTGTCGAGAGTTTCTCCACATCTTCCAACTGAAGGCGAATCTACCTGGGCCAGGATAATGTTGCAGGATCCGATCTGGGTCGCTCCCCGGGGCCAGAGGTTTGAAAGACCACACCCAGAACAGCCCAAAGCGCGCACACACTCGGCTAGGGAGGAAGTCCCCGAGCGGATGGGCTCCAGCAAGAGCCCCCAAACTCGGAAGATAAAACCAACCCGATCAAACCAACGGGATCCTCTCGAACTCTTCTTTGAGATCTTTTCTGGACTCGAACTCAGTCCCAACTCTGCCAGGAAGTCTGGAAGGGACAGGAAGTCCCACCTCGTCTCCCTACAGCCAGGCCGGGGGGACAGCTGACTCCGAAGGACCCTCCAGGGAGGCCCACAGGACGACGGAGAAACGTCTGGTGGGAAGAGACGCTCGGGGAAAAAGCAGGAGGGGGCCTGAAATGCAGGTCTGCCTCTTTGACAGGAACCAAGATGGGTGTTGGGAGGGGGGCGAGGAGCCCCCAATAGAGGGAGGGGTGCAGGAAGACAGATCGAGCGAAGCAGAAAAGCCTCAGACCTGGATAGAAGAGAATAGAACGACAAAGTTGGAAGGGACCTTGGAGGTCTTCTAGTCCAACCCTCCCCAGGCAGGAAACACTATACCATTTTAGACAATTGGCTGAGCCAGGAGGATCTGGGGTCGTTCTCCACCCTCATTTGAGGATTCCTTCCATCCACCTCGCAAAAGAGAAGCCAGATGGAAGCGGAGAGCACAACCAAGGGACGTCCCTCTGCCAGCCCCGGGACTTCGAGTCCCAGAATCCTCTCGGGCTTAGCCAAGGAATCCTGGGGGTTGCCAGCTACTTTAGAGGGTGGAGGGGGGGCTCAACAGGCAGCCGGTGGAGATTCGCTTCACTTTGGCTGATGTTTACGTTGTAGGTCTCCAAACTTGGCCAGTTTAAGACTTGTGGACTTCAACTCCCAGAATTCTCCAGCCAGCTACGCTGGATGACCAACGGAGAGGGGGAGGCCGGCCCCTCCTTGTGGATTCACCCCAAGTGAACCACCCCTTCCCCCAAGAGAATCCTGGGGTTCAGTCCGGCTGTGGGGAGGCAGGAGGGGGTGGGATCGGACAGGAGGGCCTGCCTCTCACAGGGGGAAGGGGAGGGGAGCCAGGCCGGGTGGGGGAGGCCCAGAGATGCGCTCCTCCCAACACCTGACCAGCCACCTGTACAGCAACATTCACACAAGATGCTTCACCAGGCCCGTGAAAGGATCCAAGCGACTTCCTGCAAGGAAGAGTTTAAGGTTAACCTGGAGTGGGGGGGTAGGGGGTGGGGACAATCCTGACACGTGGCATCAACCCATCCTGTTGCCTTAACGGCTCCCCCCTCCCACTTGGTAAACAGAAAAGGCGAGAGGAAGGGGAGGGGGTGTCTTCGATTTGCACCCTGAAAATTGATTGATTGTCCCTAAACCAGCATTTTGAGGGGTCGTTGGAGGCAGAATGAGGCTGCGGAGGGGGGGGCTCAATGGAGCCATCCTGAGACAATGGCCGGGCCGGGGGATCCTCAGCCACACTGGGAGGTCCAAGCGATCAGCAATACCTGAGAAGGGGAGAAAGTTCGTTCTCTTCCTCCTAATATTTCCCCACCCCTCATTTCTTAGCTGGGGGGAGAGTTGGCTGCCTCCCCCTCTCCCATTTGACTCTTGATGCCCAAACGCAGCCCAGGCAGGCCGAACAGCCACAGTTTGTAAGTTTAACGCAGAGGTCTCCAAACTTGGCAAACTTTTAAGACTGGTGGATTTCAACTCCCAGTCCACCAGTCTTAAAGTTTGCCAAGTTTGGGGACCCCTGGTGCGTGGCTGGCTGGGGAATCCTAGGAGTTGAAGTCCGCCAGTCTTCAAGTTGCCAAGGCTGGAAACCTCTGGTCTAATCGGCTCTGACGCTTCCACACACCAGCCAGACCAGGTAGGCCCTCTTCTTCTGCAACCCGGCTTTTCTTGGGTGGGGGGGAAGACCCGAAGAGAGACCCTGGCGGAGAGGAGCGCCGTTGTTCTCCTTTGAGCCTTTTTTTCCGGCGAACACCCCCCCGCCCCCCTGCCAAAGCCAAGAGGGGCAGGTTGAGGGGCAGGAGCGCGCGCGGCTCCCCCCCCGAAAGGGTTAAGGGAGGGGGCGGGGCGGGGCGGGGCGTGGGGGGGGGGCTTGGCCGCCGAACCTCCTGCCGCCCCCGCCGCCGCCGCCGCCGCCGCCGCCGGTCCCAGCCGGCCAAGTATATCTCGCCCGCCCCGTCGCTCCGCCGCCACTTGGAGGGCGGGCGGGCGCAGAGCCGGAGCGGGGGTCTCGGCGCCATGGATTACTCTTACCTGAACTCCTACGACTCGTGCATGGCGGCCATGGAGGCGTCGGCCTACGCGGACTTCAGCTCCTGCAGCCAGGCCGGCTCCTTCCAGTACAACCCCATCCGCAGCTCCTTCGCCGCCAGCCCGGCTTGCCCGCCGCTCGCCTCCGCCAGCTGCGCCCTGGGCGCCCTGCGCGACCACCAGCCCTCGCCCTACGCCGCAGGTAAGCGCCGCCAGCGACGCCCGGGCAAGGGAGGGGAGGATGGGCGCGGGGGGGGGGGGGGGCCGTGGAGGCTGGGCCGCCCCATCTGGCCGGGAAAGGGACTTCCCGTCGGGCACCCCGTCCAGTTTCTGCCCACGGCGTTGCGCCTGCCTCTCCTGGAGGTACCGAGGCTCGGGGGGTCCTGGAGGGTCGCGGGGATGGAGGGAAGGGTCCCGGGTGCGGGAAGAGAAGGGTCTGATTTGGCAAAAGACAGCCCCCCACCCTCCCCGACGTCTCTGCTTCCAAGCAAGTGCTATGCGGGGACCGAAAGCCTCCGCTCGACTGACCCACGAACCGGAGGAATAGAGAGAGGGTGGGGTCTTTCCCAAAGGAGCTTTCCTGGCCCTCTGGCAATCCGAGGGGGAGCAAAGCCCCCCCTGAAAGAGCCCGTGTAACTGAGCCCCTGCCCCGTCCAGTCTGGGCTTCGGGGCTGCAGCTGGGCAGCCGTCGGAAGAGTCGCTCCGGTCCGGCGCTGAGCCACGCTTTCGGTCGTGGGGCGGTTCCCACTCATTCCCAGCCAGGAAACGTGTTTTCTCCTCCGGGGAGGGAATGAATTCCGACGGTCGGGAATAGTTACGGTCCCCATTTCGATGCGCAAAAGCCAGAGGTGAATTTGCCCAGCGCTCAGCTCCCGTTTTTTAGGGATCTGAGACTCTGGGGCTGTTGGTCTCAGCAGTTCGACCCCCCGTCGGAAGGGCGCCTTCTCCGTCTCCGACCAGCCCTCCCCCCGCGTCCCGGGAAGAGCCCCGGCCTTGCCCCGAGGGCGCCGATCCAGCGCAGGGCCTTGGATACCGGGCGTGGCTGAGGGAAGGGCTCCCCGTTTCTCCCCTTCCCGCAAGGAGACCCCTGGAAGGCACCCCGCTAGTTTTTCCTCAGCCAGGAATGCCCTCCCCGCTCAGGAGGGGAAGGATGGGAGTTGTAGTACAGCGCTGGTCGAGGCGCCCAGGCGTTCAGCAACCGAGTCAGCGCCCCCCCCCCCCCGCCCCAGCCGTGGAAAGCCGGGCGCCGCGCAGCCCAAATGGATAGCGTCCCTTCGGGCGGATCGATGCCGCCGACTCTGAGCCGAGCCCCGTCCTCGACGACTGGGGCGCAGCAGGACTCAAATACGGGCTCTCGGCGGCTGCGTTCACACGGCCTCGGGAACCCACGACTGACCGGCGAAGGCGTTTCGGGGTTTCGGGCGTCGTTCAAAACCGCGCTTGGGCCGAGTCAACTGTTGATAGGGTCAAAAAAGGGGAGCGAAGGGCCCCGCGATCCGGGAGAAGCGCAGCAGAACACGAAGGATCCGCGCCTTGCGCGACTTCAGCCGGGCGCGGAGAGGCCCCCAAAGGTTCGCTAACTTGATTTAGCGCCACGGTGGGCGGCGGGCAACTAGTTTATCCGGGCAGGTCGGAGGAGAAAAGCCTCCTTCGAGTATGAACACGGAATTTCTCCCTAAAATGATTTTATTCCCATTTATTTGCTGTTATTCCGTTAGAACCGCCCGTCCTCGTCTTTTCCCTCCGGCCCAGCCACTTAAATGCCCCCAAAACCCACGCGGGGGAAAAACACACACAAACGCGAAGGCGCCTTGCTCGCCCAGCGCTCGCGCGTGGAACCAAAGCAAGTTGGCCGCGCGGGAAGGAAGCGTGGAATCGCCTCCCTCGGAAGGGAAACGGGGCGAGATGGGATGCGGGGGACGGTCGCCCTGCGGCCCCACGGGAGGATGTGCCTCTGGGCCGGGAGCGACCGCGCGCGGGGTCCGGTTTCACAGCGCCGCTTCCTTCGCTTCGGCTCCAGGATGAATTCAACTGGGCCACGTCGGAGGAATGAAGGCAGAAGCGGCGCGGGGGGGACGGGGCGCCCTCGGATAGACGGGGATGCATCCTTGCTCGTTGGTTTCCCGGCTGCAAACTCCGCAGAGCCCCGCGCGAGGCCCACGCCGGCTTCCGCACCGACAGATTCCCGTGAATTTCCAGACAAACGGAAACACGGAATTGATGCGGGTCGCTGACCCGCTCTCTGGCCCACTCTCCATTTGATGCCTCGTGTTCTAAACTGGGAGAGAGAGAAACGCCGCAATGTCGGCTAATCCCGTGAAATGGGTTCTCACAGCCCCCCTAATACACACCGGACCACTTCCCAAGCTAGCACGGTAGTTGTGCGAATGCGGCCACCAGGTCTTTCCCCTAAAAACGGAGCTTCCTAGAGTCCGCGCTGAGCGGGGGAGGGGGGGTTGTGGGGGGAGCGTTCACACAAGACAGTCTGCCTGCTTTCCCTCCGTCTCTCAAATAACCAATTCCAAACGGATCATTAAATTAAAACCGTATCTGGAACGGGGGAAAGGGGTACACCAATCCCTCCCCCATTCCAGCTGATGGGTGTTTAAATCCGGGCCGCCCCAGCCGTCCCGCGCGCTCGTTTTGCGGAGAAGCGCAGCGCAACGTTCCCGGACAGAAACGCGTAAAATGCTTTATTCCAGTTGGTGAATGTTGGGAAATGGCCCTTCCCGTCTTGGCGGTTTTTCTGTCTGCGCGGGTCGGTCGCCACCATTTCCCCGCAGGCAACCTTGGAGCCCCGCACCCCGCCAACGAAACTCGGAGTAATCGTGACTGGGCAGGAATTTTCTCCTTCCCAAAAAGCGATTCCGACGATGCTTTTTTGGGTGGTTGGGGGAGGGAGGGAGGGGGACGCGGCATCCCTTTCGTATCCTACCAAGGCCGGATTTGAGCATCTGCTTCACATCTGGACACAAGAGACACAATTCCTTGGTGCTCGGGGATGTTGTCATGTTCCCAGCAAACGGCTTCCGTCATGTTTTGTTTCTGGGGAGCAACCTCTAAGTTACCGGCGGAGGAGAATCTTTGTCGGTCAAGGTTGAATGGTGGGGTCCTTGGTGCTCTCTGAGCTGGGCGGTTTTCTTGCGGACGTTTCATCACTCAACCCTGACGGTGTTATCTAGTTGGTCCATGAAACGTTTTCCGCTGGGCGCCTTCAGGGATGGGCGTCTTGCCCCGGCCTCCATTTCCTTCACTGATGCCAACCTGTTGGCAGCAGACGAGCGTGCTGGGCTATATAGTTCCTACCAAGGAAGGAGAATATCGATGTAGCTCAGGGTTGAAATGTTGGGGCCTTGGGGCTGTCTGAGCTTGGTCCTTTTCTGTTCGTGACCCAGTTAGGAAACACCATCAGTGCTAGGAGGGGATGGAGTTGGGGAGGATGGAGGAGGAGGAGGAGGAGGAGGAGGGTTAAGGGTGAGAGTGAGGGTCAAGGTGAGGATTGAGATTTTGGGACTCTCTGAGCTTGGTTCTTTTTCTTGAGACGTTTCATGACCCAACTAGGTAACATTATCAGTGCCAGCTCAGAGAGCCCCAAAGAGCCCCCAAGTCCTACCCAAGGCTTACAATCCAACTCAACTGACGAAAGGCGGGATGTGCCACTGAGCGGATCCAGGATCCCCCAAATAGCCACCCCCCCCGCTTGCGCAGCCTCCTCTCCAGGGGTCCTAACCCACCCCCTCTTTTCCTCCTCTCTCCGCCCCCCCTCCAGTCCCCTACAAGTTCTTCTCCGACCCCTCCACCATCAACGAGAAGAGGAAGCAGCGGAGGATCCGGACCACGTTCACCAGCTCGCAGCTCAAGGAGTTGGAGAGGGTCTTCGCCGAGACCCACTACCCGGACATCTACACCCGGGAGGAGCTGGCCCTCAAGATCGACCTCACCGAGGCCCGAGTGCAGGTGAGTCGCTGGGGGGGGGGGGGCGGCCCCCCCCCCCCCCCCCCCGCCCGGAAGCGCCGGCGGGACCCCCCGCCCGCCCGCCCGCCCAGCCAGGGCCAGGGGCCGACTAGGGTGGGGAGGAGCTCGTCGTCCTCCCGCCCCCCGCCCGGCGCCCCTCATCCGGCCGCGGGCCTGAACGGGCCCGGGAGGAAAGCGATTCCCTCCCGCAGCGGATTCTCCGGCTCGACTTCTTATTCCGTGGCAGGAATCTCTCCCCGGTACAAAAGGGATTTCAGACCCTTGAACAGGGTCCCCGCAATTCCTGACACGTGTTTAAGATCGCTTTCCTTGTAGAAAGATCCGTGGAGATTTCTCAGTCATCCAGGTGGTAGGTAGGAACGGTGAAGTTTTTTTGGGATGAGAAACGAACCGTTTCGTTCCTCAAAGGGGAAAAAAATATATTCCAGTTGCCTTTAAAAAAAAAACCTTTTGAGTTTTCTTGTAGACGTTTCATGACCCAACTCGGGGAGCATCCTCGTTTCGTTTCATTGGTTTTCGAGTCCGTTCAATCCCAATCTGGCCTTTTTTTTTTTTAATGCTTCGTGTCTTTATTTCAACCGGGTTCCTAGTGCCGATTGAATCCTTTCATTCTAGTTAGTCGTTTATTTATAGCGTGTTAAACAGATATCCTTAGCTTAATAGCGACTCCATTTTTCCTTTATAAATTGGGAACCTATTTCATATCACTCTGCAAGTAATTTGAAATCCCGTGTTTACTTACATAATTTTACTAATTGCATTTTGTTAATTTGCATTTCACTAATTGCATTTTACTAATTTGCTTTTTTGAAAGGCGTGTTACTTTCCAGGTTTATATTCTCCTCCTCCTTTTTTTGTCTTTTTAAAAAGACTAATTATTTTTTTAAAGGATAGACTCATAAGCCTTGAAGGGTTGCAACAGAGTAAAATGCTGGACACAACAATAAAATAAATGAAATAACAGCAACAATAAATCAACCATAATAGATAAAACATAGAGGTCAATATAGCTTAGCTCCAGGCGAAAGGCTGGTGTCTATAAAGCTCCGAAAAAACTGTGGGGGAGGAAACTTTACAGACCTGGGGGACAAGCAGCCATAAAATGAGGAGGAGGCACTAAGGGGCTTTGAAAAATTTCCAGGATCACAGGGACGAAACTCAGGGATGGTTTTTAATTTCATATTCTCTGCAGCAGCCCTCGGATATAGGATGGGGGAGAGGCTGAGAATGGGGGAAAAAAACCATTTTAGAGACCACAAAACATTACTTGTCAATTGTTATTTGTAAAAAAAAATATTTGTAAAAAGAATTATTGTATTATTTATTTATCATTCCACGTAGCTATTTCTAAAAATAAGGAAGGCGGGATATATAAACAAAGAAATGACACATAAATAAGAAAAAAACTAAATAAATGTCCTTTTGGGGGGGGGGGGGGAGGGGGAGGGGGGGAATGGCCGGGGGGGGGGGGCTTTTCCTGTTTTGGGGTCCCTCTCCCCCAGATCGGTTTCTGTTTTAACTAATTCTTAACGTTGACTGTTAAAGGATTAATCTCCAAATCCAATTTTTCTCCCCTCCTCTCTCACACGCAGCTCACCCTCCTCTTCTTCCATGACCGAAATTGCAAACAACAATTTTGGATGCTGTTTTTAATTCTGTTTTTAATGGTTTGCTGTTCGGCATTCCGTACTTGAAATGGGCGGGCGGTGTATATGTGATAAATTAGTTAAATTTGCTGAAGGGAAGAATTAGGACATTTTATTTACCAGATAAAAGTTCCTTGGGATACAAATGGTTTAAGTAAGGCTGGTTACTAAGTGGGGGGTGGGGGGGGAGAAACATTTTTAAAACAATTGCAGGGAATCAAACCGTTAGGTTGATATGAATTCTCCCTTCCCAATATATATCAATATATATATTTAGGTGAATATATATATATACATATATATATCAAAATGCTACAGCTGTGCCAAATAATAACAAAAATAAGAGGAATTTCTTAACTTACTTACATCGCTTAAACGCTGAGAAAAAGGCTTTCTATTCCCCCCCCCTCAGAGAAGCAACAAATTTAGCTGGTATTTTCTGGAAGGATGGGGTAGTAGGATGAGAAATTGCTTGTGGATTTTGTCTTCCGTGTGAGTCCCGTCTCTTCAAGCCATTTGGCTTTATAGCTAAAAAAGAAAACTTCCCGATGATGTCAAGTAATCAAGAAAAAAGCCAGAGATAGAAAGCTTTAATCCCCTCTCCCAATAAAATAAGCTCTGCAGAAATAAAATGCACTTTAAAAGCCCAGCTAAAGAAAAACGGAACATTCTCCAGAGATTCAGAATCTTCTTTTGCAGGGTTTTTATTTTTATATGTCTGCAATTTTATATATTTATTTCCACATGTATAAAAGAAGAACAGTATCTTGAAAACACATGGCATTTGGAAGGGTCCATTTACATTTCAAATATTGCCATTTGTGTTGCAAATACACACCGCTGCCTTTTGAAAGAGGAGGAGAAGGCAGCAGAGTTGGAACAGTTAAGGGGGGGGGTACTTTTAGGGCTGCAGCTGTCCTGGCTGAATGGTAGAAGAGAACATTGGTCACTCAGGGAAAAACTGTGGGGGTCCTTGGATGCTCTCTGAGCTGGGTGGGCTTCTTTGCAGTCATACTGTGACCCAATTAGGCAACTTCATTAGTGCTGTGAAGGGAGCAGGGTTTGTGGAGAGGAGGAGGAGGAGGAAGAAGAGGAAGAAGAGGAAGAGGAAGAGGAGGAAGACTGTGGGGTCCTTGGTGCTCTCTGAGCTGGGTGGTTTTCTTGCAGATGTTTCGTGACCCAATTAGGTAACGTCATCAGTGCTAGAAGGGAGTGAGGTTTGCAAGAGAGGAGGAGGAGGAGGAGGAGGCGGCGGAGGAGGGGGGGGAGGTGGTCTTCTCCTTGGCAGCTCCTGGATTAGGCTGGGCCAGGACAGATCCTCTCCAGCCTCCAAGCCCCAGATAAGCAGGGCTTCACCCCAGACAAACAAGACAGCCGAAAGCCATCAGGAACTACCAGGAAGAAAAGGATGCTCCAGTCGTCACTGGCAGGGCAAGCCACTTGTATATAAGTAGAAGGCAAACCCCACAACCTTCTAGGACTGATGATGTTACCTAGTTGGGTCATGATAGGGAACACCCAAGCTCAGGGAGAACCAAGGACGCCACATCCTGGTTGTATCTGGGGGAGTAAATCTGTCCTCTCCCGCTTTAGGTCTGGTTCCAGAACCGCCGGGCCAAGTTTCGGAAGCAAGAACGGGCCTCCAACTCCAAAGGGCAGAACGGCAGCGGCGGCGGCAACAACGGCAGCAGCTCGGCGCCAGGCAAGAAGCCGGAGCCCCGGTCCTCCTCCGAAGATGACGAGTCCAAGGAGTCCAACTGCAGCCCAACGCCGGACAGCACGGCCTCCCTGCCCACCGCCGGGGGCCTGAACAGTCCCGCCGACAGCCTGAGCCCCAGCCCTGGCACGGGGCAGCCAGCCCTGGGTGCTGGGCACGTCACCCCCACTCTCAAGTCTCCCCTGTGGGCGGGCGTGAGCACCAGCAACGGGGCCACCAACACAGCCGAGCTGCTGAAGGCCTGGCAGCCCTCGGAAGCCGCCATGCCTGGACCTTTCTCCGGCGTCCTGTCCTCCTTCCACAGGAAGCCAACTCCACTCAAGGCCAACCTCTTCTAACAGAAGCACAACCACATGCTGCTGACCTACCCCTGTCCCCTCCCCTCCCGTCACTGCTGGGGGTCCTGCCCTGCCTGCCTCCCCCCAAGGCTGCAGAGTCAAAGTTTCAGTGGCCTCTCTGGACTACCTGGCCAAGCCAGCTCTGAAAGGGCTTCCAACAGCTCCAAACAACGATGTCCAACACACACACCCCTCTGTTTCCGCTGAGCCCTCTTCTCACCTCCTGCCCTGGGCATGGAACCAAGAACGGAGCACCCAGGGTCCAAGAAGGAGATCCGGGGCTCCAACGTGCGTCTTGGGTGGTTGATCGGCTCCACCTTCTTTGCGAAGGTCCAACTTCGGAGTTGGTGGAACCACCGAGCTTTCTCCCTTGCTCCACAAAGCGGCTCAGGATGCTTCCATTGGTGCATGAGGAAGAGTGACCTGGTGTCCACCCAATTGGCTGGACTGCAACACCTCTCATTCCCTGCCCAAATGTTCACTAGGTTGGGGATGAGGGAAGGGGAGGTCCAGCCCATCACCTCAGTTGAAGAGTGGACTTCCTGGCCAAGCCAGCTCTGAAATGGCTTCCAACAATGATGTCCAGCACGGAACCCCTTCATTTCGGTCATCTCCTGCTATCTTCAGCCGGGTTGGGCTCAGCAACATCGGGCAAGAGATAGAAGCCTGCTGAGCTTGGTGGCCACCCGTGCACTTCACAAGACTTGACAGGGAGGTCCTGCAGGTAGACTGGCAGCTGGTGGGATAAGAACTTTGCTCAGGTGAGGAGAGACAACCGCTGAATTCCCGCAGCCCGTGGCCTTCGGGAGGCTGGCTGAGTGGATGAAGTCACCTCTGCAAGCAGGAGAGATTCTACATCCTGCCCCCCAAGAAGGAGGGAAGACTCCTCACCTCTTTCTTTTCCTCCCTGCGGACTCTTTCTGGCAATGGGGTGAAGATCCTGTGGAATCCCCAACAGGGATGGAAAAAGGGGGCCAGGCTATTATTGTCCTTGGTTTATATTCCCACAACCTTCCTGGTCTCACCAGTTTGCCCAGTTCAGAAGCTTCCAAAGAGCTGGGTGGGGATACAGAATGCAGCATGCCAAGAATTGAAAGGGACCATGGAGGTCTTCTAGTCTAACTTCCTGCCCGAGCAGGGTCCCCTGCCCTACTACGCCAGACAAATGGCTATCCAGTGTCTTCTTGAAGCAGGGGCTTCCTGGGTGGCTATTTCCCCCCCGCTCTCGCCCACTGGGTAGAGAAGGGACAGCTCTCCAGCTGCTTGGAGAAGAAGACAAGGGACCTCTAGACAAGGGTGACGTGTCATTCCTTCTTGCCACTCCCTTTGACTTGGGGTTGATCCATTTTAGGGACCTCACGACCACCATAGCTGGCACCAGCCAGAGCACCAAACAACTCCAGGAAGTTGTCCAAGATCAGAAGAAGTGGAGAGATCTGGCTCATGGGATCTCCAAGAGTTGGAAACAACTGAATGGACATCAACATCATCATCATCAACATCAACATCACAATAAGAAGGAAGAAGTTCTTCTTGAGGTTGGCAGTCCATAATGCAAGGTTGACTGAGATCTGGCTATTTGGGGCGGGGTCTTGCTGTCTGCACAGAGATCTTGTCAGAATCATTTTCTCCCTCAACATTCATGGATTTCATCTCTGCCCCAGTCACAGATTGGACCGGGAAAAGGGCCACTGTGTCGGCAGCCGCTGCCAGCTGGGCTGCTTTACTTTAGAGTGGGGTCTTGGGGTGTCACCCACCCACCCCAACTCCTGCCCTGAGGACACTCATGGAAACGAATCGTGAAGCAGGACCAGTGGGGAGCTTCTTCTGGAAATGGTTGATTTATGGTCACCTGGAGCTGAAACCTTTGCTGGACTGCAGGAGGGAAACCAAGTTCCATGAGGACAAGGATGCACTGAGTGTCCACCATAAGTCCTGCATCCCCCAAACTTGTGTCCATAAAACTGTGCCGCCACTCTTTGAAAGTGCCCAAACTTTTCCAGGTACATGAAAGCTGCTTTCCCAACTCGTAACCTTGATAGGAACGAGAAGCTCTTGGAGAACCTGAGCACGTCCTTTTTCTTTCCTCTGCTGATGGGTTTTGAAAGATTCCGTTGCACTGGCCTTCCGTTCCTACCATCCTTCCAGGTTGACCAGAAGAACCTGTGCAGGATGCAGAACCTAGAAGGGGAAAAATAGGAGCTCCAGAAGCTTCGTCTGCAAGGTTCTAACAAGGTTCTAGCAAAACACCAAACCCAGGAGAAATTTAACCGATGATGTGTAAATTCAGCCACTTGGTCTTGGGTCATCTATTTGAGGATGTGCGATGAACACAGCCGTAACTCCTCCACTGTTCTGGGTCTCTTTTTGTACCCCATCATTTGGTCAAGAATGATGCCAGCTCCCAGAAGGAACCAGTCTGTTGTTCTGGAAGCCAGAACTCACTTCTTGAAGAGAACTTGGCCAACAGTGTCCTTCAACCTCCTTCTGAAGACCAGCAGATGCCCTTGGTATGGGCAGCAAGCTCTTCTCTTTGGCCCTTCAGCAGCAACAATGCCCTCAGGAACTCTAGAAATGGCAGAGAGGTGAAGATACACCTGGATGGACACAAACATCCTGCCACGGTGGTCCTGGGTGGACATTTACCCTCTCCCAAAGAGTGGGCTCCATTGCCCATTGCTGCCACCCTGGTGCCGCGGTGGGAGATGCAGACGCCGTAGTCACACCTCTCACATGGACAACCTCAGCAGGTACCCTTAGATGCCTCCTGCTCCCTAGGGATGAGTTGTTGCTTTAGCACCCGTGTGTAGAGGGGGTGGGGAGAGCTCTTGAAAGCCCCCTCTGGTTTTGGAAGACCTACACGGGGAGGGGAAGAGTCGCCCACTGGTGCTGCTGAAACAGGCCCACCTCTGCCTTGGTCCACCCAAGGTTGGAGGGCTTTGGGGCTGCCCTGCAGAAGGGAGGAAGGGTCCAAGGGGGCAGTGGTCTTCTTCTCACCTCCTGCCAAGATCCTGAAGGGCCCATGGGGTCAAAGCCTTGGACTCCTACCGCAGCCGAGGAGAGAGATGGAGAGAGGACCCCCTCCCCCCTTCAAGGCAGACAAACACCACATCCGGTCCATGCCGCCAGCAACCCACGAATTCAATCCTGGCTTGGCCATGGAATAAGGCCGAAGCCGCTACTGGCCAGGTAGCTGACTGAGCAGGTTCTCTTGGGGCCAAACACCTCAGCGAGGTGCTTAAATGTCCCCTCGCCCCTTGACGCTTGGTGGTGACAATCTGGGGCGGCCCTGTGTGTCTGTGTAGGTGTGGGGGGTGGACACATTGTGTGAACCTGGAGAAGAGAAGATGCGCAGCTCAGGGTTGAACTGGGGGGTCCCTGGTGCTCTCTGAGCTGGGTGCTTTTCTTGCAGATGTTTTGTGACCCAACTAGGGAACATCATCAGTGCTAGGAGGGAAGGTGGTTTGCAGGGAAGAGAAGGAGGCGGGAGGAGGAGGACTTTGTGTGTGTGTGTTTGTGTGTGTGTGTAGGTCCTGGGTGCTCTCTCAGCTTGGCTGTTTTCTTGAAGACATTTCATTACCTGAGTAGGTGACATCAGCAGTGTTAGAAGGGAGAGGGGGAAGAGGAGGAGGATTGTGGGGTCCCTGCTGCTCTCTGAGCTGGGTGGTTTCCTTGCAGACGTCTCATGACCCAAATAGGAAACATCATCAGTGCTAGAAGGGAGGAAGGCTTGCAAGAGAGGAGGAGGAGGAGGAGGAGGACAATGGGGTCCTTGGTGCTCTCTGAGCTGGGTGGTTTGCTTGCAGACGTTTCATGACTCAACTAAGGAATATAATGGCTGTCTTCTACTAGCATTGATGATATATTCTCTTGGAAACATCTTCCAGGAAGCATCCAAGCTCAGAGAGCACCACCAAGGACTCTGTAGTTGTCATTCCCTTCCTCCTCCTCCTCCCCCTCCCCATAAACCCCGCTCCTTCCTAGCACTGATGATGTTACCTAGTTGGGTCATGAAATGTCTGCAAGAAAACAGTCCAGCTCAGAGCGCACCAAGGACTGCGCATGGTGTAAACTTTGCACACTTGGTTCCTGGGTGGGTGTGCACCGCAATGCTTACTCAGCCATTGACAACCACGGTGGCTGCATTCTCTGGCCAGTTACTACATGGAGTAGCATGTTGTACAAACCCAGCTGTTGGGGTTAGATTAGGCACCGTTGATTCCGCGTGAAGCCAGAAAAAGGGTCAACCCAGGAACCAAGTTCAAACCTGCTGCGTCGACACAGGTAGTCCTCGACTTACAACCATTCATTTAGTGACCGAAGTCACCACAGCACTGGAAAAAAAATGACTTATGGTCATTTTTCACACACTTTACGACCATGGCAATCCACAGTCTCGGTTTTGGCTGTAAGTTGATGTCTCCCTGTATTGTATTGGAGATTTTGCAACTCTTCTGATTGTTGGCGGCCCCACCTTGGAGAATTAATCTATTAATCAGAATAGAGCTGGAAGGGACCCTGGAGGTCTTCTAGTCCAAGCCTGTTCAGGCAGGAGACCCTAGACCATTTCAGACAAGGGACTGTCCAGTCGCTTCTTAAAAATCTCCAGTGGTGGAGCACCTGCAGTTTCTGGTGGCAAGCAGTTCCATTGGATCCTTGTCCTCCATGTTAGGAAGTTTCTCCTTAATTCCAGATTGCTTCTCTTGATTAGTTTCCATTGATTATTTCTTGTCCTGCCTTCTGGTGCTTTGGAGAGCAGCTTGACTGCCTCTTCTTTGGGGCAGCCCCTCGAATATTGGAAGAGCAGATATCATGTCACCCCTGGTCCTTGTTTTCACTCGACTAGACATATCCGCTTCCTGGAACCATTTTTAATATGTTGTACAGAGAGGAAGGGGTCACAGCCTCCCTTCAAAAAAGGCAGGGGTGGCAGAGCAGCTGCCTGGCTCCTAGTCCTCCCCCACCCCCGAGGTCCTTTGCAGCCGGAGGTGGCATCCATT